GGCTATGTCCGCCACAACGCGAGCCCTCTTACTTTCTCGCTGCCTTTCTCCGGACTCCTCTATTGCCGATTTCATGATTGTTGTCGTGGTCGCCGCTTTTCTCTTCTTCTACAACGGAATCGCCTTAGGATGTCGATTCTTCTATCTTCTTCTCCGACAAGCTGTCGATGTTCGCCGCCATCGTCAGAGCTCTACCACCACCGTTTCCGTTATCTTCATCTAGTTTTTATGTTTTTTTTTTGTTTTTTTTTTTTTTTTTTTTTCTAGTTTAATTGTCTCCTCCTGATCAAATTGTAGGGATGTTAGTGATTAGGGTTTAAGCCAAGCCCTTTAGGGTTTAGCCATTAGTGTTTAGGTATTCTCTATATATTCCTATGTAATTGTGTTTTGAGTATTAAAACAATCTATTATCTTAGAGTTAGTAATCTTTTCAAGACTTTATCTCCTGAGGATAGCTCTTTTCTAGTTTCACTATTCTCTATGGGAAGAAATCAAAAACGCGGTTTGATATTGCAAAAGTGTAAAGGCACCCGGTCCCGATGGATTCAATTTTAAATTTTGACATATCACCTTTGCGAAAACAACTTCATTCGCGTCTTTGAAAACTTTTTCACATTCGGGTAATTGAGTAGATGAAGCAACTCTTGTGTCATCAAACTTATTCCTAAACTATGTGATCATTTATCTCTAAAGGAATATAGACTGATTCTCATTGATTGCTTATATAAAGTAATTGTTAAAGTTCTTGCAAATAAGCTCAACTTAGTGATCAGAGCTATTGTAAGCGAGATATAATTGGATTTTATTGTCAGTAGAAACATCATTGATGGACCATTCATCATCAACGATATTTGTTGTTGGAGTAAAAAGAAAAAAAAAACAAAATGATGGTTTTTAAAGTCAATTTCGAGAAAGCCTTCGACACTTTGAATTGGAAATACCTTGATCACACAGTGGCTCAAATGGAGTTTGGAGTTAAATGGCGACTTTAGATTAGAGCTTGCCTTAGCTCGACTAGATCTTCCGATTTGATTAACGACTCGCATCCATTGGAGTTCAACCTTGAAATATGGGTCGTCAGGGACCTGCTTTCTCTATTTCTTTTCATTTTTGCAAAGGAAGGGTTGCATGTTGTTATGGAGAAAAATTGTAACCATGGAGTATTTCACGAGTTTAAATCACCCACAACAGCCCATCATCTCTTACCTACTTTATGTCGACGATGTCATGTTTATTGGTGAATGCTCTGAAATAAACTTCCTCAATTTGGCTCAGATTCGTAGAGTTGTAGATGCTTTCACTTGGCATCAGGGCTATAGGTGAATTGTGGTAAAAGCAAAGTTCTTAGCATCGGATTCCCTCCTAGTGAAATCAAATCTTTAGAAAGCATTTTTGCTTTCTAACCTAACTCATTACATTCCATTACCTCGGCCTCCCGTTGGGGCTCGTATGTCAATTGCCAGAAATTGGGATTCAGTTCTAGAAAAGTTCAAAGCTAAACAATCCTCTTGAAAAAACAAAACATTTTCATTCGAAGGTCGACTTACCCTTATAAAATCGGTGCTCGGGATTCTACATCTATATTACTTTTACTTGCTCAAATCTCCATTAAATGTGACTGAAGCACTTGATAAAAACACGTAGAAGAACTATTTGGGTGGAAACAATAATTCCTCAGGATTGTCTTTGGTGTCTTGGGGAAATATCACTTGTCCCAAAAATTCTACGCGGACTCGATCTCGGTGTGTAAGGGAAAAAACATTGCACTTCTTTTGAAATGGTGGTGGTGACTAAAAAATGAACCCACCTCTCTTCAAGCAAGAACTATTAACTATATCAACTCTTCATAACACAAATGGAGTTAATATGTTCGTTACAACTTACAAGGTTGTTCTATTTCCGTAGCTCATGGGTAAATAAAAGCAGACGTATCTAGTAATTTTTCGGTCAAATCATTATCTTGGATTATTGAAGAAAATGCACCTGAGGTTGATGTAAATAAATTTAGATTGTGCATTTGAACTCCCATAAAGGTAAACTACTTCATCTAGAGAGCCAACATTGAAAAGATCCCGACAACACCTTCTACTTTCCTGCCAATTCTCCAAACAAATTTGGGCCTTGGTTTCTACATGGTGCCACATTGATTGGGCTGGACCCATCTCGGTAACCCATTGGTTTGACTTTGCAGCCTCTTCTCCCTTGGTCACTAAAATGAAGTACGTAATTTTCTTCGCTTACATTAGTCGTTGTGGAAGCTTCAGAATAATATTGTCTTTCACAACACTCCTCGATTCCCATCCTTAGCTTTTGACGAAATCAAAGCTTCCTACTTGACATAGGAAAATATAGGGTAGAAAAACAGAATCTAGTTCATCGTCGTTATCGCCTTATCGGCATTATCCATGTAAATTTTATTATATAATATAATATGTCGTTCAAAAAAAACATAAGAAATAACCATTGTGTCCAGTAAAATTACAATATTCAACGATTTCTTATATATACCATGATCATTCTTATGTGAACGGTGTCATGTCGCTTATTTACCTCGTAATGAAAAAGTATGATCATTCAAATTTACCTCGTAATAAAAAAGTATGATATTCAACCATGAATAGTTTAAATAAATTAAAAATATAGTGATATTGATATCTAATTGTAAAGAATAAACAACTACTTTTTATAAGTTTAAAATAAAAGCCAAGTGTTAGAAATATAAAACAAAACAAAAATATGACCATTCAATTATTAATAATCACTTCTAAAGATTCCTACTTTTGTTGTGTTCTTATTTGAATTGTTCCCCAAATGTCTTAAAATAATCATATAAAATACTTATTAAACGAAAACTCTATTTTTTTATTTGAAATAGTTCTCTCTTATTTGATAATAAAATAAAATTATAACATAGAGTCGTAGACTCGCAGTCTATTTTTTTAAACTGCAAATAAGATATTTCAACAATGACACTTTTGTTTGTATCTTTTCAATTCTTATCCAAAATCATGCACTATAATGAGAGACGAGAGTTTTTTGGTACTTTTGTAAAAACTATAGTTCAAGAACATTTATATATTACTGAAATATGCTTTGTATGTACAATAACAAATTAAAAAGGGTTTTTTAGTTATTAGAATCATATTGAATTTGATTAGAACCACATTCATGAGATAATAAACATGTTTTCTGTTTTATATCACATCTTTTCTTCTTGGATTAATTGTCAATAATTGATAAAAGGTGCCTGTTTTGTTTAGGGCCAGCAGTGTACCTCTATCGCAATTCGCAAACCATAAAGTGGTGACATATTATCATGATGATATGGTGAACACCATATTGTCTTCATCATCTTCCACTTTATCGGATACTTTAACTTTGCGGGAATCGAAGTTTATCAGGAATGTTATGCAAACAACACTCACTTATCTATAGTTAAACAAAGCCGAAAGTTCGCGTTTAAAAATCATAAAATGTCATTTACAGATAAATTGTGTGGTTGTGCACAACCATCTTGTACAAAACTACTTTGCCGATGATGTCGTCTACGTTGAATAATTTAGACGTCAGCTCCAGATGAGGAAAGAATTATTCCTAAGCATTGTTAATGATGTGGAGAATCGATTTCTATATTTTTCAACTAAGTGGAATGTGAGAAGGGGACAAACTTTTTCTCCGATTCAAAAATATACAATGGCAATTCGTCAACCAGCATTCCACATGGGAACGGATTCATGTGATGAGTATTTGAGGATGTCATCACGAACAACACGGTAATGTATTCAAAGTTTGTTAAAGTTGTGATTATCCTCTATCATGACCAATATTTGTGCAAACCTATAATTAACGACGTCCACCAATTGTATACGACACATAAAAACAAGTATTAGTTTTCGAGAACGTTTGGTAGTATTGATTGTATGTATTGGGGGTGGTCAATGTGTCTTAACGCGTGATGCGGTCAACTCATGCGAGGTGATCAAAAACAGTCCACGGTAATTTTATAAGCAGCGGCATCAAATAATCTATGGGTATGGCATGCATGTTTTGGTGCATCTGGTGTCAACAACGATATCAATGTTCTAGACTAATCTTTGATATCGAACGACATCTATCTTAGGAAATCATTTGATGTGTCGGTTCAAGTGAATGAGACATCATACAAGCATGGATACTACCTTAGTGATAGGATATATCGCGAGTTAGCTATATTTGTGAAATCATTATCATGTCCAAACAACAAAAAATAATTAATTTTTAAGGCGACCCAAAAATCAACTAGGAAAGATGTTGAATGAGCATTTTGTGTTCTAAGAGAAGTTGGCAAATACTCAGAATCCCAACTCGGTCATATGAGCGTACAAGAATGCATAGCATGATGTATTCATGCATCATATTGCATAATATGATTATAGGAAGATGAACGAAAAGTGATTTGTCGCTACGATGAAAATGAGAATTTACCAAAAATCAAATGAGTAGGTATTCATACGTCAGAATGCATGGCAAACAGATGGGAGGTATATGACCACACTAGACACCACAACATTCGTGATGATTTGGTGGAATATATCTTAAATATTTTTTAATTGACATCGTTGACCATTCGTACAACAATGTGTTTGACAATAATCAGGCAAGGATTTATACAACTACATGACCAACGATAAGACATGACGTACTATTTTAATAATGTATTTTTTATTTCGATTATGTAGTTAATAATTTTTTGATTAATTTTATATAATTATTAAATTATATTCTAATATATTTAATTAAAAAAAGAAAAAATAACAATAGGAACGATTTCCTATCAATGAGAGAAGTGAGAGAAAATCAACATGGCTACAAAATGGCAAGCAAAAAGTAAAAAGGAAACGAACTCGCCTTAAAAGAAGACAAAACTACAAAATTTGTTCCTATCGTATTCAAAAAAAATTATGGAAAGGGCCTAAAAAATTTTCAACTTTCATTGAATGTCAGAAAACTAAGATTTTTCCATCTATTTTGGTCATTGGTACACTTGTAGGGTCAATTTTACATTTTTTGTATTTTTTTTCCTATTTATTTTATTATTTTATTAATTAGAAATTAAAAACAAAAATCCACCACCGCCTATGATCTTCTTTTCTCCGCACCTGTGATCTTTTACCATATGAACAAAAAATCCACCAACTCCCTCTCAACCTCAATTAGTCGTAGTCGTAGTCTCATAAACAGTGGCAACATCAAGTTTTTCTGTTCAAAATCCGATCTCACATTCAAATTTATTATATCTTACATCTGCAAATCAACAAGAATGCTCATCTCTGTAAGCGATTCGGGAATCCGGCCACTAAATTTGTTACTCTGAACTTTAATTTTCCTCATCAAACTCATTCAAGCAAATCATTCCCAATCGCCCACGATTGTCCCTGTTAACCCCATATACTTGAGTTGTAACCTTAGCTGAAACCTTAACACATAGATACAAGATACCTTTTTTCATCTTCAAGAATCTACACCAAATTTGTGGATTCCAAATTTGGAACTAGATAATAGATTCCATGTGGGGTGATTCAACGATAAAGAGAGAGGAAAGCAAAGATCAAGTCAGTGGTGGTGGAGAACTCGTCAGTGGGTCTTAAATCCAAGATGAAACACTCGTAATAATCTGAGAATTCCTCATTGTGTATGTGTGTTTAATTTTCCGTGTGTACATAGAAATTTGTGAGAGTTTTGAAGGTATAAAGAGAATGGGAAGTTCTCTAATGAAATACAACATATGAGAGAGAGAGAGAGAGAGTATTGGGGTGTGTATCAAGGACCAAAATCACAAATAAATAAAAATAAAAATAAATAAAAAAATCTTAGTTTTGGAGCAAGTAGGAAAAACTTTTTATACCTTATCCATAGTTTTTTGGATACCGGACCAATTTTGAAGTTTTGTCTGAAAAAGAATAAACACGAAATCATCAAATCAAAGTTTGATTGTGTTCGTATATTTAATTTTGAAAAAAAAAAAAAAAAAAAAAAAAACCAACAAAAATGTCGATATTACCATTGTTGCCCTTCTAACAAGGCTTCCAACATATCACAAATTAAAACACAAGTATTCATCATAATAACTCTTAGAAGGTGGTTTCCAGTTCACAGAGTCAACACCGCAGCTGACTTGGACAGTTGACTATCTGAGGTGTCAGTTGGGCCCGGCAGTTGAGCACCTGATGCATTGACCGGAATCTGAGTCGGGTTATCTTCTTCTGCGCCAGCTGGCACACACGGGCGCCAAATGGTGTCCTTCCCAACATCCATCAAAGCAATACCTTTTGAAGTCAAATAACTCCTGATTTGATCACCACGTAAGAAATCTTTGTTCTTTCTAGCTAATGCTCGTTCTTCAATACGTTGTAATATGTCCTCTTCACTCAACTCAGCTCTCTTCAATGCTTTCTCTTTCAACTGCTTCAAAACCTAACAACCAAGTTTCAAAATAAATAAAACAGGAAAAAAAAGATTTACAAAAACGGTCCCTGTGCTTTCTGATTTGTCAAGGTTATGTATTGATTTTGGTCCTTAATTCAAAGCTTCATATGAAACCACAAAATAAAGACCAAAACTGAAAAAGTTTCCAGCTTTCAGCTAAACATGGAAAAACCAGAAAGCACAGGGACTATTTTTGTAAATTACTCCAAAAAGTTAAAAATTATCTGAAGCTACCTCGGTATATGTAGAACTGGAAAGCAGTCCTAAAACGTCTAAAACGTCCCTCACTTCTTTCTCCAACTCAACAAGCGACTGAATGTATGACAACTTCTGTGGTTTTTGAAGCTTTTTCTGTAAAATATTATAAATAAATATTTTAGAAAAAAAAATGTTGCGAGTTTGGGATTGAGAAAATTAAAGAATATTATAATCTGACCTTGAGCATGCTTAGTATTTTATTGAGTAATCGTAAGGCTTCTTGAAGAGCATCATTGAGAATAGAAGGTGTGTGTAAATCATCAGACATTTTTTTTTCAAAGTGAGTTTTAAGATCTGTAATACACTTTTGGGCATCAGCAGTCGATGGATATTTTTTCCCACCAGAAACAGAAGCAGCCACATCCTTTTCTTGTGCAACAGCACTCTCACAATCTTCCAGAGTCTAAAAAATTAAAAAAATTAAAAAATATATTTATATAAAAAAAGTTATTTCTTAAGGAACAAGGATTTTTTACCTGATAAATATAAAAGATGGATTCTGAGGAGATCTCAATTTGAGAAATTGAGTAATTGACTGGAGAACGATAATGTGTGCCCATCAAGAAATGCCTCAAGGCAAGTGGGTGATATAATTTAGTCACCTTCAAATTTAAAAAAAAAAAAAAAAGAAAATTAAAAAATATAAGAGTTAAGATCATTTAACTTCACCTTTTATACAAATATAGACAAAGTTACATGAATGGTCCCTGTGCTTGCAAAAACATACCACATTTGGTCCTTATGAAGACTTTCTTGCATAGATGGTCCCTAAGTTTGAAAAATGTTGCATGGATGGTCCTTATGGCTAACACCGTTAGGAATTGGGGTTAAATATTTGTGAAAAGACCAATATACCCTTTATTATCAGGAGAAAAAATGTATGTTGCTATTGTGGGTAGAATTTGTAAAGTATGTTGCCATTTTGTATCAAGAAAAAGAAAACATTTAGAAACCAGAGACCAATCACATTAAAAAAAGTCAGGAGGGGATGAGTTTGTGACTTTTGGCATACCACAGGGACCATTTATGTAACTTTCTCTAAATTAAACACATACCTCACGAATGGTAAAAAAGTTGCCAACGGATTTTGACATTTTTTCATCATTTGCAGTGACAAAACCGTTGTGCATCCAGTAAGTGATATTACTATTTGGACATGCAGCAGAGCTTTGAGCAATCTCATTTTCATGATGTGGAAAGATTAAATCCATTCCACCACCATGAATATCAAATTTTTCTGTTAAATAAGTCGCACTCATTGCACTGCATTCAATATGCCACCCTGGCCTTCCCGGGCCCCACGGGCTCTCCCAACTGATCTCCCCTGGCTTAGCAGCCTGACAAAACAAAAATCATTTAACACACATATAACTTTTTTTTTTTTTTAAAAGTCAACCTACTTTCCACAATGCAAAATCAGCTGGATTTCTTTTTCTTGAATCAATAGCAATCCTTTCACCAGCTCTATTGTCTTCAGGCTTTCTCCCTGATAACCTCCCGTAATTTGGAAAATTATTGGGAGGAATTCCAACTGAAAAATAGACATCTCCATCTACAGGATAAGCCCAATTGTTGTCAATTATCTGCAAAAACACAAACACAAAGAGAAAGATGAGTATGTGTGTGTGTAATGTAAGAGAAAGAAATCAAGATTCAAGAATGAAAAAGGAAGCACCTTTGATATCATATCTCTTATTTGATCCATGTGATCTGAGACACGGGGTTGTTCATTAGGAGGCAAGCATTGAAGATCTGCCATGTCGATTAGAAACTCTTGGCAAAATCTACCACTTAAAGCTAGTGGGTCCTCCCCAAGTTCATTGGCTCTTTTGATAATCTGCATGTGAATAAGCACTCAAAATTACTATGTCAAAATCAAACTTGTGATCAGATAGAAAATAGCATAAGTTCATTTGATGTCACTAAGGAACACTTAAAGGCTGAAAAATAAGAAGCATAAGCTTTGAGCAACTTACCTTGTCATCTACATCAGTGAAGTTTCGGACATATTTAACTTCATAGCCCAAATGTTTCAAATACCTTGTAAAGAAAAAACATGGTTTTTTTAAAATATATGGGATACCTGTAAATTCTAATAGTATAGGTTTCTCATTTGATAAACAAAATTTCCTTTTCAGGTGTTGTCAAATGTCAAGGAAGCAATTAAGACTTCAAAGAGGTGAAACTCGATGTGAATTTACAGGGGATCAAGATTTTTCAAATTTATCTCATATTAATCGAGGACATGAGTAAAGAATTGCACTTTTTTACTCAATAGCATTATTTAGACTACAGATTGCATTCCATGACTTCCAATTGAGACATGTACAGAATTGGTTCAATAGTGTTAAACCAATTGAGCTCCAATTTCAGGAAAAAAAAATGCAAATTTTTTACTCAATTGCATCACTCAGACTACGAATTGCAATCAAATGGTTAAAATTACGTACATCAATCCAGGTCTTAATCCCAAAAAAAGCAAACTGTTGATTGAATAAGTAAAACAACGGCTAATTGCTCCCACAGGTCCTTGGGAAATAGAGAAATTGAGAAATCGAGAAAAGATATACCGAAAGAGAACATCGAAGGCTACATAGGCACGAGCGTGACCAATATGACTGAAGTCATAAGATGTAACGCCACAGACGTACATGGCGACTTTGCCAGGAACTAAGGGCACGAATTTCTCCTTCTGTTTCGTCATGGTGTTATATATCTGAAAATCAGACCCACGCACTTCCGCCATCGCTGTCTATCTCTTTCTCTCTCTCTCTCGATTAAGTGTGCTTTGAGAAGAACCCTAGCGATCCCCTTCCTTTTCCGCTGCTGCAGACCACCAAATGCACGTGTAAGTAAGATGTTCAAAGGGAAACGGCTTATGCATGTAACATAACAAAATCCCTAATTACAGATCAAATTAAATCCGTAAATCGAAATCCATTGTCCAGATCATACCGTAGAACCCTAATTCAGTAGCAGATGGTTCAGACTGAACAGAAAGATCTTGATATTGGCGATATTAAGTGAGATTCCGTAGAGAAGTTTCACAGGTAGATCAGAAATCGAAGGTTAAAGGAATGCATGGAATAAAGAGAGGAGAATCAGAGTGGGAGAGTACCTGGTACTGAAAAACGCAGCCCCCAGAAAGAGGATGATGGTCCAAAACTGCTGTAGGATTTAAAAGGTATGTAGGGTTTTAAAGGCACAAACGTAATTCAGTTTTAAAGTGTAGTTCGGTTTAAATTTAGAAAGTACATGTATATCTACCTAAATATTTAATTTAGAGAAATCTTCAGAAAAGTCCTAATAATTCACCCTAATTTACGAAAAAATCTCAAACTAAAATTGGTTTATGAAAAAGTCCCGATTATTAGAAAAAATGACGATTTGACCACTTTTTTCCGGTTTATCTATTTCAATAATTACCCGGTTTCATTAAAGTCTCATTATTTTACCATAATATTCATTAAAGTCTCACTATTTTACCATAATTTGGGACTTATTCGTAAATTATGATAAAATAATGGGACTTTATTAAAACCCGGTAAGTAATGAAACCGGTAAATCGGGAAAATAGGGTCAAATCGTCGTTTTTACCTGTAATTAGGACTTTTTCGTAAACAAATTTTAGTTTGAGACTTTTTCGTAAATTAGGGTAAAATATTTGGACTTTTCCGGAGATTTCCCTTTAATTTAATCGCAATTAATTAATTTAAAAATTATAAATATCATTTTTAAGTTGATTTTTTTTATTAAAAAATTAATTAACTTGTAACATTACAATATTATTCTTCTCTTAAAAACTTTAAACGGATCGATAGAAATATGGATGCAACCGATCGATAATGAAGTTAGGATCGATGTCTCATTTATGATTTTGTCCAATAATATCAACCGATTGAATAGAGTTAGTGTCCCAAACTTAAAATCGATTTTGTCTAATTGTATCAACCGATTGAATAGAGTTAGTGTCCCAAACTTAAAATCTGACATGAAGGTGTCATCAATCTAAACACATTCATCAACCAAAATATATGGTCAACATTGATAGCTACTTGCAAAATACCAATTGATAACAGAATTATGGTCGATTAAATTCACATGTTTAGAGCTGTAAATCCCAATTGCATAACCACCGCTTACATATTCATTTCATAACAAAAAAAAATTAGAGAATAATAATCGCAGGTCTCAAATTTATTGTAAGAGATTAAATATATTGTTTAATAATCGATTGGGAATATGCAATCATTAGGTTTTGCTAATCGATTATGCATAATATGAAACGACAAAAAATCGTGTTGTGAATAACAATATCGTGAATAAGAAGATTGATTGTAAGAATGAATGTAAATATGCAATTTGGTAATTTAGTTATACTTAAACTTAAAGATAATGTTTCAACTTAAAATAGATTAACTATGATAAATTATATATTTGGGTATATATAATGTGAGTTTATAGGTTTTATAAAGATATACATGTATTTTGAAGTTTTTACAAGGATATTGAAGTTCAATGGAAATTACAATAAAATAAGTCTAGTTTTTTAAAAAATAATAGTCCAACGGGTCATTCTGAAGTTGAGTACAGGCTCGGCCTCCAAACTGGTTCCGGGTCTCAATGGACCATGTTTAAAGCAATTATGGATTCACATTGAGACTGACGACATCTTAGATTTATTTGATAAATTAAAAAATGGCATGCGGTCCTGATGATATTGAAATTTTATGAGTTAGTTCTTTCTTCCTACTTTTTATGTGTTTTTATGGATTATTATCGAAAAAACCTACTCCGAAATGCTAAGAATATGCACGAAATGTGAAGAATATGTCTGAAATGGAGTGTTATTTCGTATTTACTACTTAAAAACCTACTTAATTGGCATTAGTGTCATGTTGGTAACTTGGAAACTAGTATATGGTGTTGTGCCTTGCCTTTAGTCTTTAGCCTTCCTTAAGAATGTTGGAAATATTTTTATATGGATGTCACTTGAAATAAGTTGAGTATTGATTTACAATTTCTAATAAACATTATCAGAATGTTTCAGGTCGGAAAGATCCTGAAGATTCAACAAGTGTTTGAAGAATCAGATGTTGGAGCACTTGAAGTTTACTTGGAGCACTTGAAAGTTGACATGCAGCACTTACGGTTGACATGGAGCACTTACGGTTGACATGGAGCACTTGGAGTTGACTTGGAGCACTTATTGAACATGGAGCACTTACAACTTACATGGAGCACTTGTTGAAAGCAAGTTGGACCATCATGATCTCATATGGCACATCTAGATCATATGTGGAGCATCAAGATATTGGTGGATCATCTGGAATATTGATGGCTCATCAGAAACTGTTGGCTCATCCACAACTCTATGGCTCCACAAGACGTTGATGGATCAACATGAATACTTGGTGGCTCATCTCAAGTTAATGGATCAACATGATCACATTTACGGCTCAACAAGATTGCACATGGCACATCATGTACAATGATGGCACGTCCAAGTTCTCAATGGTCCATCATGAACATGTGGTTGTACATCTTCAAGTTCAAGACATATTCCAACATTCAAGAAATAACTTAACTTGATCAATGACACTTCTGGAAGTTGATGACATCTTAGAAGACAATGAAGCAACATGATGATCATGTTGCTCATCATACTTTCAATGTTGATCAAGAAGGCTCAAGAAATATTAAGACTCAAACTTGGATGGAACCATAACGGAATACTATCAGAATTGGAATATTCCATTCATTCTCCGTTAAGTAGGGCAAATGTGTCAACTGATGACTAAGTCGTGATGATGTGTCAACACCTGATTGGTCAAGACATGTCATGGGCTTTTCCAAAGCCTATAAACAGACCCCTTGGGCTCCGTTATAAAGTAGCTAAATTCCTACTTCTTCCTGCTCATTTTGCTCATTTACTGTTTAGAATAGATCTTAGAGAGCCATTTAAGTGTTTTAGTGTGTTTACCATTCAAACACTTGTAACTGAATCTTTATGAATATGAGACACATTTGAATCATTTATCTTGAGAATCAAAATGTTTTATGGTTAACTTGGTTGATTCACAACCTTTTATTTTCCGCATTACTTGCCACTTGACGATCCTTAAACTTTGTTTCAGTATTTTTAACACTTGGACTCTACAAGTCTAAGGTTTACTGAATTTTTATAATTTCTTCAGTTGGTATCAGAGCAACTAACTTTCTCATTTCTTCGGTTGGTATCAGAGCTCGTGTGATCGACTTTGAGACTTAGAAAAAATTTCACAAAAATATTTTTTTTCAAGTTTCAAACTAGTATCACTTGTTCTCAATGGTAAGTGTGAATCAAAACCAAAATGGTCTCTATTCAGTTTCAGTTGCAAACAGTCTTGGAGCAGGAAATCGTGCACCTATCCTTGTACCAAGTGAATACTCTTCATGGGCAGATCGTATCAAGTACTACTTGGAAGGTCATGACTCTGACATTTGGACCTTCATTTCCACTGGGAAACATACTCCAGAATTTATGATAGATACCAAAGTTCTTGAAGCTGATGTTTATCCTGAAACCTATAAAGTCATTTATGGATCTGTTTCTTCTGCTGCTCAACTCCGTGAAAGAAAAATCAATAAATTTGAGGCTAAGGAAATGCAAGAACTTTTATCTGGAATTCCTCATGACATCTATGAGCAACTTCCTGATGAAGATAAGGGAACACCATTCAATATACGGAATGCACTCAAGAAACAGTTCGAGGGAACTAACAAGATTCTTGCAAATAGGAAGAAAGCCGCTTTGCTAGATATGGACAACTTCAAAATGTTACCTAATGAAACTCTCTTTGATGCATATTCCATGTACAACATTGTTGTCAACAGGGTGAAGAAGCTCAAAGGTGAAAGATTGCAAGAGGATTTCAATCTAAAATTCTTGAACAGTCTATCTCCTAAATAGGACACAATGCACATGATCATGCTACAAATTGCAATTAACCTGGATATTATGTCTTTTTTTGATATATACACTGATAATCAAGGACTTGTCATGGGAAATTTAACAACCATGGCAAATCATTCTCAAAACTTGATTGCACATCATAATCCAATCCCAAACCACTTTTCTGATCAGTTTGCTAACCAAGGATATGGAGCGTATCATTATCAAAGTTCAAGTATGGCTCAATAGTACAATCAGAATCCTTATATGCCAAATCCACAATCTCTTCAAATAGAAAATAGGTACATGGAAAATCATCATGCTTTCATTGGAACCACAATAGAATCACCTCAAATCAATGAGGAAAATGAGTATGAAGAATGTTTGGCACTCTTAACCAAGTTCAATCCAAACTTCAAGAAGTTTGTGAACAAGCCAACTGGGAACTTCAGAGCACCAAGTTATTAGAAACCCCAACATTATCATCAGAACTCTAGAAACTTCCAAGGAGGGAACAACAATCAACAGAGCTTCAACTCTCCAAACTCTTCCATCTAACATAAGTATAATTCTCAGAATTTAAATTCTGATTCCCAGAGGTCAAACATAAGAGTTCGTGATAACAAGTCAAAGTCTTATGATGATCATGAAGTGATTAGGTGCCACAACTATCAATGTGAGAATCATTTTGCTAAAGATTGCAAAATGAAGAGAAAGAAGGTCAAATATGAAGCATACTACCTTCAAAAAGTTAAAGAACTCAAAAATAAATCAAAGGACAAAACTTTCAATTGAACACTAAGTCACATCATCCCATGATCTTCCAGATTTGAACACTAAATCTAAATCTCCAGTTGAATACTCTATTGAATGTCCCACAATGGAAAGTTTAAATTCAGAAAACGCCACTTCTAAAAAATTGGATATCTCTGGCTCAAAATCTAATGGTAAACAGCCCAAATCATATGAGCCGGTAGGATATTGCAATACTGAACCCATTGGCTTCTTTAGTCAAGAAACATTTCCATCTCTTAATGCTTCAGTCGCTGGAACAAACGACTTAGGACATAAATATTCTTAGAAACAACAGACTAAGAAATCTCCAATTCAAGTCAACAAGGATGAAACCTTGAAGACTGCGAGTAATGAGAAAACTGTTGTTCAAATACTCAAAAGACCTTTCGTTCCAATAAAAATCACTTCACCCAGTCCCAAACAACAAGAGACATTTGTAAAACCAACTAATTTCTCTAAAGATAAATGAAAAGA